CAAAACACTTGTATTTTGTGACAAAATAGACTGAATTTTGTCTAAACATTGACACAAACTCAAACATATTAGTTGTAATGCAATGTGACACCCTATACTTTTAATAAAATATTTTTGCCTCCAATTATTTGGCCCTAGTAATAATCAATGTAAATCGCAAAAATATATGGTACAATACCTTTTTGTAGTAAAACTTCATACTCAATACACCATTGTTTTTTAGGACTAGATTTATGTCATACTCATATATACGTAGTTTACAACTGAACACATATTTATTATGAATTTTATTTCCATTTATATTGGACGAGAATAAACATTAAGCATTATATTAATATAAATACTGCAAATTTATTAACTATTTAGTAAAACAAACCTTAAGTTTGAATAATTTTCAATAATTGGCAGAATAAATGCTAATTGGTTACAAACTTGACCATGGGTCTCATTGATAACTGTAAACTATTTTACAAATATACTTATAAAAAAATTGTAAATTTAATTATATTTTCTAAAATGTATACATCTGCTTTGGAAATGCCCAACACGATGTCTGAAATACTGGTGCTCAGATTAGGATTAGTATTATTATTATTAAGTATAATTTGAGTTAATTTACACGGAATACAATAATGTGACATATTGTAGTAGAGTATATCACATAAATTATAATACACTTAATAATGTGACAATTAAGTCTTATAAGATATGATAAAGATAATAATTGTATAACGTATAAATAATTATGTCCATATAGTTTATATTTTATACAAACTAAATATTTTTGTTTGCATTTACTTTCATATTTTGTTTGGGCGATCGATATTTAATTAGAATTAATTTTTATTTTATTAACGATTATTATTACAGTATATATTGACGCATAATATAATCATTTGTGTTATTTATTTTACTCTAATAGTAATACATTTATACCGTATGTTAACTTATTACACGTAATCATTATTTCATTTTTTATAATAAAAAATTAGTTTAAATGTAGAGATCATTGCCATTGAGAGACACTGACATAATCGACATACATATTAGGCTGAGCCCATTGACTGGCCTGAGCGGGGGTTACTTGGGGTCCGTACACATTAGTGGGGAAGAAGTTGCCACCCACCGCCACGTTTAGTATCCAGAAAAAGGGCTTATCAAATGGCTGTCCAAACGCTGTATACGGGGCACCGGTAGACATATTGCGGTTGATATTTGTGGAGAAGTAGGGCTTTCCGTCCACTAACCAACTGATCGTTGTTTTGTTCCACTGAACACCAAATATATGATAATTGGCACTAAAGTCATAGGGAAAGGCTGTTGCGCCACTACCCAGAGCAGCATTATTAGGCCACTGGGCCCCATATTGTATAGTTCCCAAAATGGTGTTGTTCACCTGACCCCTGTACTCCATTATATCGATCTCACCACTGGCCGCCCTACCCACGCGTCAAATAGTAATTAATATGAATAATGTTTTACAGTTTACTGCATACCATGTGCCGTATGTATTGGATTGAGGGTAAAGCCAAATGGCTGGCCATAAGTCATAGCCATTTGGCAGCTTAGCTCTGGCTTGAAAATAGCCGTAAGTCCAGGCTTGCAGTGAATTGAGCCGGGATGACGTGAAATTATTACCACCCTGGTTCTGTACTTTAACTTGTATGGTTAACACACCGTTAGCCACCTGAACATTCTGGCCATTGGTGTAGTACTCGAGCTCATTATTACCCCAACCTTTGGTGCAAATATTATTATTATTATACTTTATATACATATTTTAGTATTTAAAAATATTGTATAATATCATAAATAATATGCTAGTTATCATGACCTCCCCCTCCTGTTTCAAACTTCCAGTTATTAGGGTTGAGTGAATTGCCGTTGAAGTCGTCTCTCCACACCTCAACCCAACCGCCAAATACGGGCCAACACACCGACAACCCTAATATCAATACAATTATATGAGTTTCAAACATAATATTTAAATTATTTAATACAATATTCAATTATGATTTGGTTTATGAAAATCTTAGAGCAAATATACTATTAAGCAATTTAATCAGGAGAATTTATACATTTTGTTTGCGTTCAAGTATTATCATTTCATAACAACATATTTTTTTGTGATCACAACTCGTAAACGTGAAATATAATGTCATTTACTATTAATTGTGTAGTCATTGACATAACACATGTACAGTATATAAATTTATAATAGGCGACAAAAAAGTACACTGTACTAATCATATTAATTTTGTAATAGATTTTAATATAAATATTGGTGTGATGTTAATAGCAAAAATTTTGTCTTACTTAACTACTTTATCAATATAATTATTATTATAAATAATCATGATTTATTTGTTTATCAGATGTGAAATTGATATTATTGTATAATCAACAAATGTAACATAAATGATTAAATGGTTGTTTTTGGGTCAAATATACTATTAATTATTAGGAGTAATGAATTTTTAAAAATATTGTGTTTCAAAAAACAAAACAATTACTTAAAAATTCTATTATTCTGTAAACAAGGTATATGAATATATTATTAATTAACATCCTGTTTTATTGTGACCTATTATTTTAGTATAATATTAATATAATATATTATTTATCGACAGTAGTTGCAAATAAATATAAAGTAAAATATAATACAATTATAAAGGCAACTTTGTTTATTTTCAATAATATAGTACCGGTAATAATGGTACTTTTTAACGCTGAAAACGATTCTGTGGTTAATATATTTTTATTTCAATCCGTTCGGGAGATATTCGGGTCAGAAGTTGCCATAAACTCCCATTATAAAAATATAATTAACTGACCACTCACCAACTTAACTTACTCCATAATCTCTCAGTATTTTCCAAACCAACCTAACCATACAAATGGTAAGATAATTTAATCAACATAATAAGTGGCGCCTCTGGTGAGTGGTCAGTGAATTATATTTTTATAATGGGAGTCTATGGCAACTTCTGACCCGAATATCTCCCGAACGGATTGAGATAAAAATATTTTAACCGCAGAATTGTTTTCAGCGTTAAAAAGTACTTTTAAAAAGATTTCCATTTCATGCGGCCTAAAGCACAACCTAATCCATATAATAAATATTATTAAGTCAATAAGTCAAAATAATAATCATTGTGAAAATAATTTATGTATAATTGAATGTCTATTATTTATGTACCATTGTTCCATAAACAACTTAAATGTAAAGTTTTGACAAATGTTTATAATGATCAAAATATATAAATAGATGTTTAATAATTTGCTTGAGCAAAATATCCGTTTTTAAAAATACCCAAAATTAGATCCGTGTTAGTAAATTATGAGATGCTATTATACAAAATAGCTTAAATTAATAATTGTTAGAATAAATAATTAATATAAATTTATATTATTTTACAATTGGTATACAGGGATGACATTAATGGACTCCCCTACTTTATATTATAATAAATTTAATACCATGAAGTTTATTAAATTATATTTATTAACAAATTGTAGCCGAATAGTTAGGATTTTGTTTGGTATATGAATTGTATATTATTAAATTGGATAGAATTTTTTCGAAGGTAGTTTAGAAAAATATTGGCAAAAAATTGTGTTTTTGCATGCAAATCATAGTTTGAACAGCATAAGTTTAAGTTTTATATACTGTAATTTTATAAAAATTAATTATTGAAACTATATGTTTAAGAATATTGTGTCATGAGATGTTGAAACTGTATTTTAGTATTATATAAAAATTATTGCTATAAAATGTTTTACTGGTGATTTTGCTAAATTATAAAATTACAGTTTGTATAAAACTTAAAACCATGCTGTATAAACTATGATTTGCAAACAAAAACACGAATTTTTGCCAATATTTTTCTAAACTACCTTGGAATTTTTTTATCCAATTTAATAACATACAAGTCATATACCATACAAACCCCTAACTATTTGGCTACAATTTGGTAATAGATATATTTAAATAAACTGCATGGTATTAAAATTATTTTAATTTAAAGTAGGGGAGTCATTTAATGTCATCCCTGTATATTGAATTTACTACACCTCATAAAATACACTTTGAAATATTTGTAATTTCAAACATACATTAAATTAATTATACTATAATAATTATTTCTGCACATCAAATTAACGATAAAATTGTGGTGGCAAATACATTAATATACTATTTTTAAAACATTTCAAAATTTTATGTTTTAAGTTCATGTGTATAATATAAAGTTAGTGCAAATAACACGCAAAACATATAATGCATGAAAATATATGCAAGCCTATTGCGCAATCGGGGTCGAGGTAGGGGTCGAGGTAGGGGTCGAGGTAGGGGTCGGTTCAATGAATGTCCGATAAATAAGCTACAGTTTCGTGGTGTTATCACTGCGTTAATCCAGATAATTTTTTATAAATAAATTCAAATTAGTAACACATTGTCCGCACCTTGATGTATTATGCAACCGGAGTAGGGGTCGGGGTTGGTTTAGTAATTCTCTAATTATTGATCTAACTTTTAAAAAATAATTTATTTTATTTTTATTATGATAATTATGCTACGTTCTAATTAATTTAGGTTATTCAAATAAATTGAAAACATTATTAATAGCCATTATTAGTATATTAAATTTGCCTATTTAGTGAGCATACACTCGAAATGTAAGTAAGTTAAGAAATATTTTAATAAACATTTATTTTAGATAACAACGTACATAATATAATGTCTATCTTAAGCTTCTACATTAATTACTTATAAAATTATTTTTTACATTTTTTTTTGCAAAATTATAATATTCATATTGCGTTATAAATTTTGTATTATTATATTATTTACTTTAAATATAATTAATATACCATAAGCTCATAAGCAAACATATTATTTTAGTTATATATATATATTAAGTTAGCATTTTTTATATGCATGCTTTTTATTAAAATTAAATAAAACATTTTAATTAGAAATGAAAATGAAATATTTACTTAATTTTGATGACTTAGTAATGTTACTTAGTTTTAATATTAATATTTAATTTATTATTATATAAAGTATTTCAAACTTATATTTAGAGAGTATTTAGGAAAACACATTTTAGGATACAGAGAATTATTTGAAACTAAAATTTTAACAAAATATGCTTAAAAATATGGACCTTGATCAACCCATACCCCCTGAATGGCGTGTAAGGGGTGCTGACAGTCATCTCCACTCAATTGGTTTATCACTATTTAAACCACAATTACATCCAAACAGACGTCTACTCTATCATCCATTACTCGTATTCAT